GGTATCAGCCTTGAGTGGCTCGTTGGAGCCGTTTAATCGGTGCTGCAACTGGCATTGACTGTGCACTGCGTCGTCGCCCAGGTGCCAGCTGGTTGCCCTGGGCTGTTGCAGGTTGTCCGGAGGAGACACGCACTTCCTCGGGGGCGCCGTGGCACACTCTGCTCTCTGATAGTTTTGGTTTGGGTGATAATAATATGTAGTTGTTTAAGCTTTGTGTCCCTGTGGTTTTGTGTGTTTGGTCTTTAGTTGCTGTTCTGCTGATATACGGTGGTTTGTTTTGAGGAGGTGGTTCTTTTGGTTTATGATGTGTCTGTGTGGTTGTTGCATTTACAGGGCGGATTTCTCTTTGTCATTGTGAAAGATAGTTTCTTTTTGGCGGAATACGGTTTTTTTTTGTTTACCAGTGATGCCTTTCTCTTATTGTAAGTGTTGTTGACTGTTTGTCCCGTGTATTTTTAATCGCTCTTTTGGTATGCCTATGCGGGGACCTTTTGGTGTAAATGCAATGTCGTAGTGCGTGAGGAATTTTTTTTTGTTTGTCTATTTTCAAAGGGGATGTGTTGGCTATGCGGGTATTTTTTTTTGTGGCTGACGCTGTCGCCTTTATATTATGTAGCGTTGTCTGTCGTTGGAGCTTGACTCATGTGTAAGCATGCGTGTTATCATTATGCTTCAAGGTGAGGGCTTTGCCGGAGTTTTTAACATCGTCATCAAGTTATCCAATCAAACGGAAGGCGAATATATATATATATATATATATATGTTTGTGTCGTTTATTGGTTTGAAAGAATTCCGTGTACTGGCTGTTCTGTGTGAGCTACCGTTCCTGGGTTGGGCTGGTGGGACCCCGCGGACCTTGTGTCTTGCATATGCAGCGTGTAGCGAACTGTCATTTGCATGACTTTGGAGTAGTGGCCTTGCTCTTAGTTGGGGCGGGAGGTGTGTGGGCAGGAAATCTTGTCGACTGCACTGTGAGGAGAGTGCGTTAGTATTCACGCCATTGCTGCACGTGACATTATAGGTGGTGTCCTATGGACGTTTTAAATTAAGTGGTTTCTCATGCTCCCTTAAGTACACTTGCGAGGGTTGAGGTGAGTACCGAATTATCTGTTTGTGGGATGTGGGATGTCTGTTGTACTTGTCACCTTGCTTGCGTCATACAATTGTACTAATAGCTGATCATGGTGACGTGCAGCCAACTTAAGCGTCGGCGGCTTTCTTGTAATGGAGCAGGTCCCTCCTGGCCATGCCAGCTGCCAGAGTTAAGACAGACAACTCATTTTCACTGGGTTTTTGCTCTGCATTTCTCATTGGCGATCTATTTGTTGGAGTCGCTCTGCCGAGTCTCTTGCACTGCCTTCCATCACTACCCTCAGAGAGGTTGTGCCTTTACATATCTTCTCGTGTAATGCATTTTTTCTTCTTCTTTCGTTGTGCTTCTCGCCGGCTCCCCCTCTTGCCGTTCCGTGTAGAAATCTAAACCAACCACCACTACCACTACTACCACGTAAGATGATAAGCGCCCTCCGTAACACATCGCCCACGGCGTCTTCCTACGACGACACTAGCTCCGTGGCCTCAAGCCGCGATACCTCGCACAGCACCGTGGACTCCATCGACGCCACCAGCTCAGTCAGTTCAAAGGAGGGGAACCGGATGCTCGATGGGCTGCGCCTTGAAGTTGACTTGCGTGACGAACGTATCAAAGAGCTTGAAAGCGCGTACGAGGAGCTCTTGCGGAAGGCAAAGTACGACGAGGGACAGCTGCGCTGCGAACTAGAGCAAGCTGTAGGCAGCCTTGCAAACGCTGAGAGCGCGATTGAAAAACTCCAGAGCGCGAAGGAAGCTGCGGACAGTGAGCGCTGGAAGATGGTTGAGCGTGCTGCCGCCTTGGCGGTCGAACGACAAACAGCCATAAAGGAGGCTCGCGCTGCCGAGGAAGAAAAACAGGCGGTTGTCCGTCGCTATCAGGCGAAAGAGAAGGAAAACGCGAACACCATCAAGGAGTCCGACACTGTCGTCTTGAAGGTCGACCACCAGAGAGCCACTGAGGCCCTCAAGGCGGCCGAGGCTGAGAAGCAGAAGGCTGCGGAGGCTCTCAAGGCTGAGCAGCAGAAGGCTGCTGAGGCTGAGAAGAAGGCTGTGGATGCCCTCAAGGCTGCTGAGGCTGAGAAGCAAAAAGCGGCCGAGGCTCTCAAGGCTGCTGAGGCTGCGAAGAAGGCTACAGAGGCCCTCAAGGCTGAGCAACAGAAGGCTGCGGAGGCCCTCAAGGCTTCCGAGACTGAAAAGCAGAAGGCTGTTGAGTCGGCGAAGAAGGCTTCGGAGGCCCTCAAGGCTGCCGAGGCTGAAAAGCAGAAGGCTACGGAGGTTGAGAAAAAGGATGCTGACGCTGAGAAGAAGGCTGCTGAGGCTGCGAAGAAGGCTGCAGAGGCTCTCAAGGCTGAGCAACAGAAGGCTGCTGAGGCCCTCAAGGCTTCCGAGACTGAAAAGCAGAAGGCTGCTGAGGCTGCAAAGAAGGCTGCGGAGGCCCTCAAGGCTGCTGAGGCGGAGAAGCAGAAGGCTGCCGAGGCTCTCAAGGCTGCGGAGGCTGAGAAAAAGGCTGCCGAGGCTGCGAAGAAGGCTGCAGAGGCTCTCAAGGCTGAGCAGCAGAGGGCTGCGGAGGTTCTCAAGGCTGAGCAACAGAAGGCTGCTGAGGCCCTCGAGGTTGCCGAGGCTGAAAAGCAGAAGGCTGCTGAGGCGGAGAAGAAGGCTGCGGAGGCTGAGAAGCAGAAGGCTGCGAAGAAGGCTGCTGAGGCCCTTAAGGTGACTGAGGCTGAAAAACAGAAGGCCGCGGAGGCTCTCAAGGCTGAGCAACAGAAGGCTGCCGAGGCTGAGAAGAAGGCTACAGAGGCCCTCAAGGCTGCCGAGGCGGAGAAGAAGGCTGCCGAGGCTCTTAAGGCTGAGGCGGAGAAGGCTGCCGAGGCTGAGAAGAAGGCTGCCGAGGCTCTCAAGGCTGAGCAACAGAAGGTTGCCGAGGCTGAGAAGAAGGCTACAGAGGCCCTCAAGGCTGCCGAGGCGGAGAAGAAGGCTGCCGAGGCTGTGAAGAATGCTACAGAGGCCCTCAAGGCTGAGCAACAGAAGGCTGTGGAGGCTCTCAAGGCTGAGCAACAGAAGGCTGCGGAGGCTCTCAAGGCTGCCGAGGCCCTCAAGGCTGAGCAACAGAAGGTTGTCGAGGCTGAGAAGAAGGCTACAGAGGCCCTCAAGGCTGCCGAGGCGGAGAAGAAGGCTGCCGATGCTCTTAAGGCTGAGGCGGAGAAGGCTGCCGAGACTGAAAAGCAGAAGGCTGCCGAGGCTGTGAAGAATGCTACAGAGGCCCTCAAGGCTGAGCAACAGAAGGCTGTGGAGGCTCTCAAGGCTGAGCAACAGNAGGCTGCGGAGGCCCTCAAGGCTGAGCAACAGAAGGTTGCCGAGGCTGAGAAGAAGGCTGCCGAGGCTCTCAAGGCTGAGCAACAGAAGGCTGCGGAGGCTGAGAAGAAGGCTGCCGAGGCGGAGAAGAAGGCTGCCGAGGCGGAGAAGAAGGCTGCCGAGGCGGAGAAGAAGGCTGCCGAGGCCCTCAAGGCTGAGCAACAGAAGGCTGCCGAGGCTCTCAAGGCTGCCGAGGCCCTCAAGGCTGAGCAACAGAAGGTTGCCGAGGCTGAGAAGCAGAAGGCTGCCGAGGCTCTCAAGGCTGAGCAACAGAAGGCTGCGGAGGCTGAGNAGAAGGCTGCCGAGGCTGAGAAGAAGGCTACAGAAGCCCTCAAGGCTGAGCAACAGAAGGTTGCCGAGGCGGAGAAGAAGGCTGCCGAGGCCCTCAAGGCTGAGCAACAGAAGGCTGCCGAGGCTCTCAAGGCTGCGGAGGCCCTCAAGGCTGAGCAACAGAAGGTTGCTGAGGCTGAGAAGCAGAAGGCTGCCGAGGCTCTCAAGGCTGAGCAACAGAAGGCTGCCGAGGCTGAGAAGAAGGCTGCCGAGGCGGAGAAGAAGGCTGCCGAGGCGGAGAAGAAGGCTGCGGAGGCTCTCAAGGCTGCCGAGGCCCTCAAGGCAGAGCAACAGAAGGCTGCCGAGGCCCTCAAGGCAGAGCAACAGAAGGCTGCCGAGGCGGAGAAGAAGGCTGCGAAGGCTGCGAAGAAGGCTGCGGAGGCCCTCACAGCTGCTGAGGCTGATCGGAAGAAGATGCTTGAACTTTCGAACGAAAGCACGGGAGCGATCAGCAACACGACTCCGCTTCTGGGAGAAGGTGGCAATGCTTCCAATAAAGGTAGAGGTGGTTTTTGGCAGTGCTTCTGCGTCACAATGTGAGTGTCAGTGTCGATGCACTTGCTTCCTTTTTTTAGACACACGTAGAGAATGATAACTCCCCGCCCTATTTTGACTGCTGGAAGGGAGAATTAGTTTTTTTTTGGGTTCTCTCAATTTTATCTGGTTAAACTTTTGTTTTTAACGTTTTGTAAAGAAAAAAAACTTCATTCCTGCTTGAGATTTTACGTTAAGAGTGAAGTTTTTTTATTATAGTGATAGTAAAGGTGAATTGAGTGATAAATAGAGTGGCTTGTCGCTTTTTCTTTTTGTTCTTAAATTCCATGAAGGGCATTCTTCAATGTGAGTTGCGGTGTGTTCTGCGAGTAATCTTTTTCTGTTCTTTTTGCGGTTTTCCTCTAATGTTGCGTTTTGGGCAGTTGAAAGGTGTGCTAGGAGGTTTCTCTTGCACGGCTGATACTTTAAGCCGTCTTTATTTCACCAAAGAAAGAAAAAGGCATTGCCCACATGTCGGTTTCGGAGGTGTTTCTTCGCGATGGCGTGGCCTGCACGAAGGTGGATGCGCTAGGAACCAGCATGAAAGATCGCTACCCACGGTGGACATTATTGGTTGTTCTGCAACGTCAATGGTCACGCGATAGGCGCGCCAACAGACTATACGCCCCGGCATTTCAGCTGTTGTTTGCGTCCTCCGCCGAGTCTGAGGACGAAATCACCACTGCAGCGGATGATGCCCCATGGCACCTCCTTTTCTACGACACGAAGCTCAGCTGCCGGGAGGCACTCTGGGAGGAGAAGGTAGCGGAACTTATCACCCAAATTTGGAAAGGTGTGCCCTCGGGTCTTCATCCTTCGTGTTTCTCCGTGATTTGCGTGACTGTGGGCACCACACACGAGCGGCTTGGTCTCTTCTCAGAACGTGCCTTCTCTCTCTTCAAGGAGAGGGTCGAGCGGGTGCTGTTTGAGCTTGGGCTGCAGCGGGCATCTGTTCAGCGGCACAATGTACTGGGGAGCAGGGCCGACGAGCAGAAGGGTAGTGACGCTTGTACTCGGCTTCCAGCGTTTGTGGAGCAGGCGATTCAGTGGGTGTGTCATCGAACACCAGAGGCAGCGGACGTTTCGGCGCCGTCGCAGAAGGGAAATGATGCCATCCTACAGGAATTTCTGCGATTGCATAAGTTATTGTACACTGCATCTTTTCAAGAGTCTGTTGACGCTATTGGCGATGATGCGGCACCAGCAGCACGAGTTGGTGAATGTCCAAACCCCAAGTTGATGGAGGAACGGCGTGTGGCAGTGAATAATTTGAAGAAGCGTGTGGGTCATGTTGTCTCATTCGCATTGACATCGCCTACTTCCTCAGAACATGTAGGGTCGCCATGGTACGTTCTCCTCCTGCAGAAGCCGCTTGTGGAGAAGCAGGAAGTGTCGATCGACAACCTTGACCCCGGCCCACTCGAGCCGCAGCCCATCGGCGCAGAGCTGCATATGATGCATGATTGCGGTGAGGTGCTCTATCTTCAGTCGGAATTGTGTGACGAGAGAAACTTAGATACAGTGTACGAGGACATCATGCACGAGGATGGCGAACTTTTCGCGCAATTGACACCTGTTGAGGGTATTGCCTTTGACGATATTGACCATTATCTGGAGTTTTTGTCTGCACAACAACATCAGCAGCAGGAAATGACGGCGGAGAAAGTGGCCCCAATGGAGCCGCTGTGCAAAGGATCGTGCTGCAACTATACGTTCCCAAAAGTTGTTGTGCGAAGGCCGACGGGATCAGTTGTGAAGAGCACCGCCATATCGTCACCACACGCAGAGATCTTAGAGGAGTCACCCCATACGCCGGAACAGTGGGAGGCGGCGAGGTTGGCCTTCGCGTTTCTCTCTCAGCACATCACGCCTGTCAGCGGTGGGGGTTACACTCTTGCAAGGGATGTAGCACCGGTACCGCCACCACCGCACGGCGACGCATGTTCATGGTGTGGCCGTCGCCGCAACAAACTTCTACGTTGTGGCGGTTGCCGGGTGGAGATGTACTGCTGCAAGAAGCACCAGATGATGGATTGGAAGGGTGGCCATAAAGGTAAGTGTGGGCTGTGGCGGAAGGCACGGGAGGACTACGAGCAGCGCGTTGTACCGCTCCTCCAGACGCGCGAGGTGGATCTTCCCACCACCCCATCAGCCTCAGCCGTTGTGACGTTGCTGCAGTTCCTCACCGCCTCTCAGCATGAATTGCAGGAGCTGGCGTTTCCGGTCGTCCACATTATCGGGATCGATACAGATGTGTCAGGGTTCCTCGCAGAACTTGCACACCGCGTGAAGCAAATAGTTGGGAAGTGGAAACAGTTGCGCCTCCTCCTGTGCTCTGACGCCTTCAGTGATGAGGAGCAGAACGCCGTCTATGCCGTTGACAAGGACGGCGACGTCACGCGAACGAAGCCTACATCTGTTTTGGGAGACGCGTGGCACACACAGTCGGACAGGAACGCAGTGGATGCTGTGGCCTTGGTGCGCCTGTACAGCACAAAGTACCATATCTTCATTACTGACGCGCTCGCTGGCAGCATTACTCCTGCGCCTGGTACAACTAATAGCTGTGGTGGTGGTGGTGGTGGTGGTGGCTTTACGCCATCAGCAGTGGTGTCGTTCAGCAGCCCGTCAGGGGCCGGGATGACGTACTTCAGCGCTGCCGCAGAGGTCTTCGCCAAGCACTTTGTTGGTGTCATTCCGGTGATGTGCACCGAGGCGACACTTGTCGGAGCGCACAACACATTAGACGCCATCTTTTCGCGGGTGAAAAATAATGCTGGGGTGAGCGCGGACCACAATAAAAAGCTTCTTTCCCTCCATACCAACCCAGATGACCTCATCCAACTCAATGCCAGTGGCATGTGCAGCAAAGTTGTAGAGATGCCTACTACAGCCGCCGCTGATACCTTGCCGACAACCAAACAGACGGCATTGGTGCCACATCTGAACCTCTACTGCTTCACTGTTCCTGTGTTGCGGTAACGTGTGGTTGATGTCTTGCCTTTACACTGGGATCGTATTTCGTATTCGTACAACACATATCTCTGCAAGCACACACCTTTGACCATTGTTGACTACATTCGATTGATGATATTTTTTTTGATTGTGATTTGTTTGGCTGCTCTTGCAATCTTTTGCAGTTGCTTTGTCTCTGTTAGCATTCTTTTTTTTTTCGTGTGCGAAAAGAAAGGGGGAACAGTGTATTATTTGTTCGTCTTGCTGTTGCTTGTTTGCGCTCCTCAAGGCCGCGGAGCAAGACATTAACAGTGGCTGGGTCTCCAACGGGGGCAATCCGTGAAGAGCCGGTGACGTGCTTCTCTCAGTGCGACGCTGAGCGAATACGTAAGATTCTTTCCGGTGGCGGTGCCAAACCCCAACGGTCAGAGACCATCGCACCCTCGATGTCCAGCAGACGGCTCGTCCGCACTGTGACTCCTAATACGTGCTTGTCCACGTGCCAAGAGCGCATGGGAGAAACAGCGACCGTGTCGCACAGTGTGGTCGTCGTCCCGGTGGTAGCTACAGCTGGAAAGCAGGAGCCGGGGTGCCAGTGCCCGGCCACAGCGGCTGACAGGCCGCTGCTGGATGCTCGCCGAGAGTACTCGAGTCTGGAAGCCTCGCTGACAAACAACGATGACTATGGAAAGGGAGAGATGTGCACATTTCAAGTCCAAAGCCAGCCGCCGCAAAATCCAGGGGCGGTGGCCGGTGCGAATTGCCGAAGCGATGAGCACCGTGAGAGAAGGTGCAGGTTCAGCCTGCGGGTGCTTGTGATTGCAAACATTCTTCTGATGATCTTGGTGGTCTCGGTCATCTGTGTTGTGCCACTGGAGACAACAAGTAGAAAGGCGTTGAATTTAGGACTCCAGTCGACGATAAAAAGCTCCTCGGAGATGGCCAGTAAGTCCACAGCAAACAACTTCATTTTACTCCAGGAGGTCATCAGTACTATAGCCCTCAGTTTACAGTTCAATCAGACCGTACAGCTGCACCCTTGGAGAGACACCAGCATGCCAACCGTGATGCAGCAATTATGTGGTTTCGTTGCCAATTCTGTAGTTTCGGGTCATCTGCTTTACTTACATCTCAGTAGTCCCTATTCAGGTTATGGTGCATACTGCTCTCGGCAGTACGATGGAGAGACGTTGATTGGGAAGTATGTCCGACGTGGAGAGTCTGACTACCGTTACGAGGTTGACCGAGAGACGCTGAAGTATGCCGAGCCAAAACAGCCCTTTTTGGAGGTTTCCAAAATGACAGAAAGACAAAATACTGTGGACTTCGCCGCCCCTGATAACCCATTTCTGAACATCGCAATACCCTGGGTTGAGTTAGGCCAGCAACGCCGGTGGTGGGTCTTCGCGAGGTCAGGCAAGACAATGGTGACGTACACGTACCCTTTTAGAGACTACCTTGGCAAGCTGGCGGTGATCACAGGTGCTCTCCAGCTGGGCAAACTTCAGAGTGTTTATCCTGAGGTGTTGCTCTCTGAGGTGGGCAGCTCGATGGTGGTGGAACTTCAGAGTGGACTTGTACTGAGCACCAACCCAAATGAAGGGAAACCGACCGTGTGGGATAATTGGAACTGCACCGTGACACCCGAAAGGTGTTGCGAGGGTGCGCAAGATTCGGTCCAATACATTGACTCAGTCAACAATCCGGACATGCGGACAGCCGTTGCGAAGCTCGGTGGGAGGGACGGCATCATGATGCTATTACGGCAGGAACGGCATTCACAGGTCAGATTCACAAGCGAACACCGCATCCTTGTCGTTAGTGTAACCCGAGTCGATATTTCAGATGAACGTCTCAATCTTGCTGTCATTGGCCTCACGCAAAAAGCGGCGGTCACTGGAACGCTCGACAAAACCCGCAATAGGGTGGTCGCTGCCCTGGCAGCATCTGTTCTGTGCATCGCGGTTCTGGAAATGGCATTTGTTTATGTTATTGTGAAGCCGATGGGGGAAATAGCCCATGGCCTTGATCTGATGATGCAGCTCCGTGATGGATCCGATGTCATCAAAGGCTCCTCCCCGGTTAACGAGGTTGCGTTGATGCAGCGCCGATTCCGGATGCTAAATCAGCAACTTATGTACATGAAAGCGTTCTTACCACACGGGGTCATGGGACAATGTAACGCAGAGGTCGATGATGCGGCGCCGCAAGATCTTACGAAGAATGAAACATCTAGATGCAGTATGTATGTGGCACCAGTAGCAGCTGAGAAATCAACAGCACCTACAACTGAACTTTCTGTTACTCCAACAAAAGTCAATGACGTGGATGCCTTCCACTTTCGATTCAATGAGAATGTATTGAAAGACGTGGTCAATCAATTCCGCCGTCGGTACTGCAGCGTTGTGTGCGTGAGTATGGCCCTCCGCGATGATGATTATGTCATTGACGGTTTGGTGCAGGAATTCTTGGGGACCTGTATCCCCCTTCTCATGCGGTACGGTGGCGTGATAGAGATACAGCGCCCAGATTTCTTAATGATCAGCTTTGGCGCCCACTCCAACATGGCACGGAACCAAATGCAGGCGGTGTGCTTCGCCATGGAGCTGATGCAGGTGGCCAGGAAAGACATACTGGTGCGGCTCGGTGCCATTGTGGATGCAGGGGAGTACCTGGTCGGCACCTGCGGGGCCGCAAACCGTAACGCACGTGTGACGTATGGGCGGCAGATCCCCCTGCAAGCAGAGCTTCTGAGGCTTGTGCAAACCCTCAAGTGTCACGTGCTTGTGACGCGGCCTATCGCCATCTCCCTCGACGTGCAGTTCCTGACGATACCTGTGGATGCCGTTGTGTGCGGCGTCTCCAATATGCTCGTCGTTCTCTACGAACTGAGAGGACACACAGGGGCACTAGAGCCGGAGCGTGTGTCCGAGGTGCAGCGCACTGCCCGTGTTATTCGCCATGGATTTTCAAACATGCTGAAGGGAAGGTATGTGGAAGCGGCTCGTTTGCTCTCAAGGGTGGGGGGCAAGGACGTTCAAGCCGATCGCCTGTTGAGGATGTGCAACCGCTTTATACGCAAAGGGATTACCAAACCGTATCTTCGTGGTAGTAGCAAATCCAAGGTCACAGTAGTCGGTCCCAAGAACAGCAACCACACTGATCCCCTGGCTGTCTCCGCCGAGGATGTAATGCTTCCAATGCTGCATCTCAAGCAAGGATTCTTGCGCGAGGGTACGGAGCTGGAGAACAACGTCTTTGGTAACATGTCATTGAGCGCTGCGACGCTGCACAGGCACACACTGCCGATAGAGAACCATACAGAGGCTAATACCGACGAGGAGTGCGAGCGAGGTCTCTTCGAGATGTTTCTCTTATCCTCCTCCGATGAGGATGAGGAAGTGGATGGGTCTCCAACATCAAGCCAGGTGGCAGGAGGAGGCATGGCGCCGACCTTCCGCGGCAATGCAAAGGGGGAACTCCCATTTGTCTTCACAGACGTGCAGGGCAACTCGTGGACGCGGTCAGCCGAGAAGATTGGCGTTGGCGCCTTCTCGGTGGTGTACCGCGGCATGTCATCTTCAGGGGATCTCGTCGCACTCAAATGCTTCGCGCTACGTGCCCGCCACATTGACATTGAGGACATCGTTGAGGAGCTCAAGCTGTTCTCGCAGCTCCGACATGAGAATATTGTACAGTACATCAGCTGCTACTTTTCGAGCGATTATCTTATTGAGGTAATGGAGCTTGTCCCTGGTGGCTCGCTCGATAGTATTCTCGGCAATTTCGGGATTTTGTCAACGATGGCGGTGCGCCGATTCCTGCGGGACGCTTTACGTGGGCTGATGTATCTCCATTCCAAGAACGTCGTGCACTGCGACGTGAAGCCGCACAACGTGTTGGTGGCGATGGACGGTGTGTGCAAGCTGACGGACTTTGGGTCCTCCCTCCTCCGCCTGACGAACTCGATTCAGAACATCAGCAGCGTCTTCGAGATGCGCGGCACGCCGGGGTACATGGCGCCAGAGGTGGCGCGTGGGGAGGTACCAACGGCGAAGAGTGACGTCTACTCGCTTGGTATCACCGCGTTGGAACTCCTCACGGGACGGCTGCCGTGGAGCTACGCAGCAACGGCCACATCAGCGGCATCCGCAACGAAACGGAGCAGTCTGCACACATCCAACGGCGATTTGGCCGAGCAGAAGGAAGATGAAAATGAGATGAAAAACAGTGCTGGGGTGGAGCAAAGTGAGACACCTACATGGTTCGAGCACCGGGAGGCGTTCTTGGGCAGCCCCTTCACGGGCATGAGCGACGCCGATAGCGCCTGGGCGCAAACCGAACGCTGCGACATTGATTGGCTGCTGCGGAGCCCAAAGCAGCTCATCATCAGCGTTGGTAAGGGCGACGTCGTGCCGGCAATCCCGTCATGGCTTGACGACGACGTCCGTGACTTTGTGGAGTTGTGCGTGGCGCCAGAGCCCGACAAGCGGCCCACCGTGGAGGAATTACTGCAGGATCCATGGATGTTCTAGTGCGGCACACACCCATCCACACGTGAGAGAGAAGGGGTGAACCAAACGAACGGCATGAGTGGAAGGAGTGGATTAGCTACGATGTCTCTCCAGACTGTTTACTTGGAATACGGCAAGCATCGATCCTAATAAAGGGAGAAGCAAAGAAAAAAACATATAATACTAAAAATAATTGGAAATATAATAGGAAAGCAAACAAATAAAAAAAAGCAACAACAACAATAAAAAAAGACGCAGGGGAGTGGGGAAAGCGAGTGAACAGCTGAAATTGTCCCAGTCGTGGGAAAAAGGTGTACTGGAAAAGCCAGCGCACTGGGCGGAAAACGAGCATTGATAATGGTGGTAGCGTTAAGAGTCAAAGCAATTTGGATTGTGTGCTGTGTGCAACCCGTACGCGGTCCTTTTCCCTTCTCAACACACACACACACACACACACGTACGCATGCCCCTCCTCGGTGTGTAATGTTCTATTTGTTTTTCTTTATATGTGTGTGTGTGTGTGTGTGTGTTTTACTTTTTTTTTTGTATTTGCTCATTTGTGCGTGCGCGTATTTTTCTGGTTTTCTCTCTCCCTCGTAAGTGAGCGGGCGGGTAACACAATCGGCATTTATGTAAAACAAAAGGGAAGAGGAAAGCTTCAACGAACAACGACGACGAGTGACGAGGGGAAAAAGAACCGAAGGGACGAACTGCAGACTCCCCTCCTCCTCCTTTTCCTCCTCCTTCTTCTTCTCCCCCTCCCTCCCTTCCTCCCTTCTTCCCTCCCTCCCTCCCTCCCTCCTCCTCCTTTTTTATTGCTGCGGTTCCCACCACTTACCACCACTTTGTTGTCTCTTTACTGATTCCTGTGTTATTTTTGTTTTTGTTTTGTATTTTGTTTGTTTGATTTGCCCTCAGTCGAGGGAGAAGGACCGCGTGTGTGTAGCAGTGGCGGTGATAGGGGGAAATACATCGGGGAAAAGACGAGTCCCACGAGGGTGATGATGGTGGTGGTGGTGGTGGTGGGCACGCATATATGTATACATGCTTCTGCATAGTGCACACATGGTCGTGTGCCACAAGTATGCGTGTATTTGCCAACGGCAAGCCAAACAATACAAAACGAAAATAAATAAAAAAATATATATATATATA